CACAACATTTTAAAAAGTTGAAGAGCTAAAAGAATTTTTCTCGTCTAGAATCTGTCCTCGCCTTCTGGAGGAAAATAGTGATTTTTCTCCCAAGGACAAACAGAAAACTGCTCCTCAGTCAGACCCCACAAAAATTACAGTCTCAGCCCCAGACTCCCATTATCAATCCAAATACACAGAAGATTATTCCTCTATTATTTCTCCCACTTGCACCCCTATGACCATTTCACCTGTGTTACTGCAGGCTCCCAACAGCCCCAAACTCTCTGATAATTTAACAGGAAAGAGTTCAGATAGCACCAACAGCACTCAGAGACCTGTGAAATACAGCCTATGAGGAGATGGCAGAAGAATTATTGTTTTCTTCAACACAGAGAAGACTGCAGAGAGACATGATAACAGTCCTCAAAAATGTAAACAACTGTAGCAAAGAGGAAGGAAATAATCTCTTCTCTCCCACGTGGAGAGGATAAGAATAACAGGCTAAAATTGCAGCAGGGACTGGACATTTTTTTTCTTTTTTCTTTTTCTTTTTTTTTTTTTAATTAAGTATCAGCAAAACCACTTGTGACTGTTAGAATGGTGTTACTGAAGCCCTGGGAGAGGTTGTCTCAGAAATCAACATATCTGGAGCACTTTGAGAGCAGGCTGGACCAACACCTGTGCTAACGGGGCAGGAGCTGGAGAAGGAATGGGGGACTCTTTAATATCCTTTCTAGCCTTGCTTTCATAAAGTTTGACGATTCCTTGGAGAAGTACACATTCATTTATCACCCTCTGGGAGACTTTTAGAAGCAGTGCTTGCACGTGTGTGTTCCTTGCCTCCAGAGCCTTCCTTGGGATTATTTCTCTTCCAAACACGAGGCTGCTCTCTGCTCTCTCTCCTGTGAAGCTGCTCTGGCCAACCAGGACCTATAGTCCTACCAATACTTGAAAGGACAAATATTCCTAAAGAAACCACAGCAAATGGGCCTTTGTTTGCCTGGTCACTTGCCTTCACTTGTGCAGGAGCATGCACTACAGTTGTGCTGAGCTCTTCCCCCAGCGAAACACAGCAAACAGGAGCTGGGATGAGAATGGTCAGCAGGGCAGTCCCTGGCTGTCACAGGCAGCTGTAGCAGGTAATCCTTGTGGCAAACTCAGCAAACTCCATCCCCAGTCCGCTTCACTTGCTTGGCCTTGCTGCTCTCACTGGCTGGCTTCTTCAGAGCATCAGCACTTAGGCAGCCAAGAACCTTCCTCTGCTTTCTAACCCAGCATTTTTCCTTGGCCAGTTTATTAATTAGTTCCCATGCTGTTGCTGCATTTCCACGTCTCTAGAGCCTTCCAGTTCAGTAGCTGGCATCAGGATCCCTCTTGGTTAAACAGGTCAGGCTGTGTTCTTGTCTTGCCAGGGAGTCAGGGGAACGCACCCACGGCACATCAGCAGCGCTCCTGGCTCCTGAGATAGAGCAGAGGCCACCCAAAATTACAGGGTGGACAAGGAGTGTCCCAGAAGCCAGCCTGATGCGCTGACACAAGATGAGGAGGAGTCAGGAAGCGAGGCTGCCCTGCTGGAAGTGCTGCAGTGGGGCTGCAGAGGCTGCTGCCACCCTGCATGCCCCAAACCCAGAGCAGGGGGAGAGCAGCTCCTGCCCGGAGCTCAGCCTTGCTGGGGTGGGCTCCCTGCTGCTGGCTGTGCCCAGGGCAGGAGCTGAGCCCCAGCTCCATCTGCCCTTCCCCAGCCTCCCCTGCCCCAGCTGCTTTTCCCATCCCCTCCCTGCTGCCAGTGGAGGTGTTTGTGCAGAACCAGCTCGGGGAGCCCGTCCCAGCCAACAAAATATCCTGCAAGTTCATTTTTCCGTCCTGCTGGAAGAAGTTCTGTCTGGTTCCTCGGGTGGCTGCCCAGGCCCTCGGGCTGGCACGAGGGAGGGAAGGGATGGGGCTGTGCCATGAGTGCTGCTCCCAAGTGAAAATCACCCACTTGGGGCTGATCCAGAGCCTGCCCTCGGCTGCTCCCCTGGAAAATCACCCACTTGCTTTGCCCCAGATCCCCCCCAGGCTCCTCTCATGGCCCCGGACAGCAGGACCCCCATGGGAACAGCCAGGTCTCCAGGGTGTCCCTCTTGTCCTGTCCTGCAGAAGAACAGAGCTCAGGGGCTGCTCAGTGGAAAACTGGTGAGTGCTGCTGCTCACTTCTAGAATCCTGCATTTTCTGTGCCTGAGCCTCTGGACCATTACAGTGCTGCATTCTTGCATCATAATTAACAGTTGCTGCAAAGATATTTTGGAAAATGTGGTTCTTTGTAATCACATTTAGCAATGAGTATATCTAAATAATTGTGTTTGTTGAGGCACTCCTTTCTTGGGCAGCTGTTACAACCCACTTTAAAATAAACCCACTCCCCTCATAGGTTTTGGAGCTGAGCTTTGCTATAAATGACGTAGACAAACCATTTCCAAGAGTAATTTCAAAATTTAGAGTTTTCTCATTTTAGTATGTTTGACACTGACACTTCCAGGGAGGCTGGCACACATTACCACTAACACACTTTGCAGAGAGCCTCTCTCATGTTGTCCTGGTTTGATTGAAGGACTTACAGGGGCTGCCATAAGTTTTGGCTGATTTCTGTACTCATTCTGTGGGCACAGTACAAGATTGCTGCTCTTTGCAATACTTCTCTGGAGAGTGTGTTAAAAGAAAAAGCTCCTACCATGGCATTTAGATATATTCGGAAAAAATAGTTTTAAAAAGGCACATTGTCTCGTGCAGTCCTGCCTGAAATTTATGTACTGGTAATATTTGTTTATCTGCTAAATGAAATCATGGACACTTCATTCCTGTCTGACCACCAGAAAATATTTTGTAGTTGGTTTGATGCTTATGTCACATATAGAAACTCAGAAAACCTTGGCCAGCTTTCATGGGCTGTTTGCTGGAAGCCTGTTCACAAAGGACCTGTACAAGATTAAGTCCTTTTAACTCCCAGGAATGCTTTAATGAATACTGTTGGCACTCACCCAGGGTAAATTATCTATTAAAACCAACATATATTTATAACTTGATCAAGCATAACATCTTTTTATGGATTATGGTAAAAAAAAACCAAGTTATAGCAGGTAATTGTCTATATTAGCATCTGTGCAATAATGTACTCACAGAGAATTTCAGTTAACACTCAGGTTCCTGTCAGGCCAGCCAGGGAGGTGCCTGCATTTGGGGTTAAATGCTCTTTATACCACGGGGGAAAAAAAAGGCAGAAACCAGCAAAGGCTGTGGAAATCAGCAGTGAGTTACCTCTTTCCCCTCACCTCCACTTCCCTGCAGAATTCAAACAATCACTTCACTGATGACAAGAAGCAGGGACCTCAATTTTCATTCAAAAGTAGGAACCTTGGTGGTGGCTTTTGATTGTAGAATCAGCCTGGTGGTTCCTGATGGTTTTTCAGCCTCAGGCCAAACCCCAAGGCTGAAAGGAGCTGTATCCCGGCCCTGCTTTCCTGTGCAGCACCAGCCCAGTCCCCAAACACACCTCCCTGCTTCAGCCCATGCATCCCTACCTTCAAAAAAAACCCAAAAAAAGCTGTTTAAGAGGAATGCAGAGAGGTTAAATTCATCAGCACTTTGAAGTGAACTTGCAGAACTAAGCACTAGTATTTTCACTGCAAAATGAGGCCTTTTGCTGGGAAGCATCAATGCAACAGGATCATCTACTGACAGACTTGTCAGCACTTCCAGGCAGGCTGGAGTATTAGAACACGCATTTGGCTGAACATTTAAACAGAATATATTCCTTACCATAAATTTTCTGTGCCTCTGTAACTACAGAAATTCTCCTTCAAAAGGCAAACACGCCTACCTGATTTGCAAGTAGCACAAAGCAGCACTTTCTCTAAAATCTAGAGAGTTACTGCTGATATTTCTGCCCAAGGAACCCACCTAATAATAACAACATGTTTTTCTGCCCTGTGACTTGGTTCTGGCTGCACACATTTCCATTCCGGTGTCATTCATAGCTGTTTTTAACTTCAGCGAAAAGCAAGCCTTCCTTTCAGCTAAGACCAGGCATATCAAGTTCAACTAAAAAAAAAGTGTTGGGAGGGGAAAGGAAGGGCATTTTGGCTGGGGAGAAAAACGAGAGGAAAGGACTGTAAAAAGAGTAAAGTGCCAATTCTCTCTGAGATGTAACACCATCTTAGCAGCAGCAGCAGCAACCAGCAGGCACAGCTTTGTGGACCTCGCTTCTTGGCCCCTTGGTTTTTCATCTGTACATCCAGCAGTGCGCTGGGGAGGGAGGGAGGCAGGGAGGGAAGAGGTTGGGATGGCTGCTGTGGTGTAGAACTATGCCAGGAGCCCTGGATCTGGGGCAGAACCATGCCAGGAGCTGTGCCAGGAACCCCTCGGAGCCCTGGCTGTGAGAGAACCATGCCAGGAGCCCTGGCTGTGGTGCAGAACCATGCCAGGAGCCCTGGACCCGGGGCAGAACCATGCCAGGAGCCCTGGCTGTGAGAGAACCATGCCAGGAGCCCTGGACCTGGGGCAGAACCATGCCAGGAGCCCTGGCTGTGGTGCAGAACTGTGCCAGGAGCCGTACCAGGAGCCTCTCAGAGCCCTGGTTATGATGTAGAACCGTACCAGGAGCCCTGGTTATGATGTAGAACCGTGCCAGGAGCCTCTCGGAGCCCTGTTTGTGGTGTAGAACCGTACCAGGAGCCTCTCGGAGCGCTGCCCGCCCACCGCTCCCTGCCCCCGCAGCTGCCGGGGCTCGGCCGGGCTGGCCGGGCGGCGGAGGCGCGATCCCCACGCGTGTCATGGAAAGCCTCAGAGGGAGGGCCGCCGGTTCCAGGGCTGCCCGGACAAAGGAGAACGGGCTGCCGCCCCCGTCTCGGCCCCCGGGCCGTGCCAAGGCCAGCACATGAATAGCGGCTGTGTTCTGGCTGTGTTCTGGCTGTGTTCTGGCTGTGTTCTGGCTGTGTTCTGGCTGTGTCCTGGCTGTGTTCTGGCTGTGTTCTGGCTGTGTTCTGGCTGTGTTCTGGCTGTGTTCTGGCTGTGTTCTGGCTGTGTTCTGCAGCCCGGCGCACGGAGCGGCGCTCGGCCACAGCCGGGCCCGAGAGCGGAGGGGATGGCATCGGACGGGGACAGCTCCAGCCACAATGTGAGTGCTCGGGAAAACAGCCCTGGGGCCGGGCAGAGGGAGGGAACAGCCCCGGCTCGGGGGACAGACACCGCTCCCATCGTTTGCTCCTCCGCTTTGGCAGGCGCTTTCCTCTGAAAACTCGCTTCTGCTTTTTTCCTTCGCTCCCCTTTGAAGAAAAACCAGCGGCAGGATGTCTGCTGTGTTCTGCCAAGGGCAGTTAGTTAGTTTTCTCCAAAAAAATGAGGGTAAGAGGAGGGATATTGCTAAAAAAGAGATGGTTTTTAGGGAAGGAAGGGCAGCGGAGGAAGAGATCAGCCCCGAGCCCTCAGGAGGAGGCAGCACACGCTCTACACCCTGCACGGGTCTGATCTGCCCCTCGTCTCACAAAGCCTTCCTCTGTTCGGCACAAAGTACCCTCAATCTGGAGGGGAGAAAAAGAAATAAATACAGCAAATACTGAGGCCAAGGTTTCCTATGTAGGGTTTATAGAGAAACAGAACTTCTTGCTGAAGCTCTTTCGGTTCTCTGCGTTCCTGTTCTGGGTGTTTGTGTTTTTTAAGAAGGGTGTTTCTTGTGCGCAGCGTGCGTTCTCGGAAAGGGCAGCTGCCCAAAGGTCTGGAAAAAAGAGACTGTTAGAGATGAAATGGAATCACAAGCCCAGAGCACAAACACCCATCAAACCTCGGAAGCTCAAGTCCAGATCTGCCCCTCAGAGAGCTGTGGAGAAGGGAAGAACATGAAGCATTGCCTAGGGCACAGCTCCCAGCCCTGAGGAGGTGGCATCAGGGTCCACATTTTGCAGCTGATTTTTCTGTCTGAAATGGTCTTAATCATCCTCAGACCTGGCAGCAGGGAAGTCACTCTGGGGTCACAGTTTCTGTTTCTTTGGCCCCTGTCAAAGAAATTAAAATGGTAAGATTTGTGGCCTTGGAAAAAATCAGGACAATGTTCCTTAACTAGAAAGGAGGAGTGAGACTCCCCAAACCTGCAGATTGTATCTCTGGTGAGATATGAGGTGCAGAGCAGCTTTTGAAGATCTGGGATTAGCTGTAAGGGACACAATTAGTGAGGAGAATGCACAGGTAACTATGACAGTTACTGAAAATGTACTTTATTAAGACTGGGAGAGATAAATGTTAGTCTTTCCTAGAACTAGACAGCAAGACAGAAATATACAGACATCATTAAGCCAGGAACTGATGGTAAAGAGAGGACAAGAAAATCATGTTAAATAAAAAGTCAAATTAACTCCCTGTATATTGAATCACTCCACTTGATGGATAGTTTCAGGTGCATCATCTATTTAAAGTCCAGGTATAATAGATGAAAAAAGATCACTTCACTCATTAAAGATCTCCTAAATTACTGAAAAATCTGGGGTGTCGAGTTTTCTCTTCCAACCCATCTTGAGGTTAAGTGAAGAGCCACCAGCACCTTTGGCCTGTACAATACTCAGATAAGTAAGCCCAGAAGGCCAGAGGTTCCCTGGGCTCAGGAAGAACATCCTGTGTGTCCAGAGCAGCGATGTGGAGAGGGTGCAGCACCACAGAGTGTCCCAAGAGTCCCTGTGCTGCTGAGGTGTCCTCTGTGTCCCCTTGGCACAAAACACAGGTGAAGGCTCACACATTCCTGCAGTGCTCAGAGACACTCGGTTCCAGGAGAGGGAGAGCTACTCACTGGTGTAAAACCCTTTAACCAAACGAATGCAGTTTGGTCCAGACTCCAAAGGACCTAAAGGCATAAAGTGCAAAAGGACCAAGCTGCTTTCAGTCTGCTTTCTGCAAAGCCAGGGAGGAGCAGAGCTGACCCAGGGAGCATCGAGGCATGAGCGGGGAGCAGCAATCATGCGATCAACACATGAATAGCGAGCGCCTTTTCCAAGACTCATTTAGCAAGGAACAAAGAAAGTTGTGGGTACAAGGAGTCTCAGGCATACCTTTACTATCACATGTAATTTGACTGCAAGCCAGCCACTTTATTCTATAAATAAAGGCCCAGTGAGCCTTCTCTGAGCTCTCCTGGCTCAGCAGCCTGGCTGCATGGCAGAGATTGTCCCTCACGCTGGGACAACCCTCAGGGCTGCTCCTCAAAGCTGAGACCTCTCACCAGCAGCAGATCTTCGGTAAGTGATTGATACTGCACATAACCCCCTGGTATGGGAACTCTGATTTGTGCCCTGCTAACTTTGATTTTATCTTGGTAACTTTGATGGTTTTTTCTTGGTGAAAACTTTTCCCCAGAACTTCTTTTCCTTCTTTTGCTTGTGCCTTGGTAGCTTTGATTCATTGTTGAAATGGTTGTGCTGTGTAACACCCCAGTGAAGCTACCCATCAAGCATTTTAAGTCCCATTTTTACAGCATCATATTAAAATCAGTTTCACAGATGTCGTTGATGATGATCCTTGAAGTGATCTAAATCCCTGTTCATGAAGAATCGGTGTAGCTGGCAGAATCCTGAGTCAGGATTCAGGACAATGGCTGAGATGAGCAGAGGGTCCTGTAAATGACGTGACTTGACAAGTGGGAGGTCATGGGAGAAGTGGTCACTGGCAGAGGGGGAAAAAAAGAGTGTTTTTCAGTGGGAAGTAGATTTAAAAGCCTCTTTTGAGTGCCTGCTGTGAGCAGTGAATGCAGAGCAGATATCTTCATGGAAGTTTCCAGCCGTGGATTTAGGAAGGTCTGGGGAATGCTCAGCACGCTGTGACTCACTGCTCCTCAAAGCAGGAAAGTCCTGGAAGCTGTGATACAGAAAAGGAACTTTTATTTAGAGGCTGAGGGTCCTGTGTGTGTGCACAGCACCTCTGAGCATTCCTTGTACAACATTTACAGGGACGTGCTAGGCAGGTAGCTAAAGCTGAAACACTGCAGCTTTGTCCTCATGGAGGAGACTGCAGGAAAAGGCAGGCAGCATTTTAGAAGGCTCTGAGGAGAACTGATCAGTCCCCGACGTTTTTTGCTTATTCTGAAGCACGAGCAGGAGCTCACTCAGCAAAATTGAAAGTGTCTGTAACAGGACTCCCTCGTCCAGCATGTCATCAGCCTGTGGAATTTGCCATCTCCTGGGGCAGGTTAGGAGGTCAAATATTGGGGCGAGCAAACACTGAAAAGAGGTCGGGAGGTCCAGTAACAATATTTACAGTTCTGCAAGCTAAAAAAGGTACCTTCAAATTCCATTAGCCAACAGCAGGATAAAAATAAATATGCTTTTCAGTTCCCTCCAGGCTGTGGCACAATGGCTGAGCAGACCACGAGGGGTTGCTTGCATTAGAGAAGTTGGACACCAGCTCCCCATAAGTGGCACCTGGGACTGCTGTTTAACAGCAAGAAGCATCTCCACTTTCTCCCTCACAGAAATTCTCCTGTTCTGTGTATTTCTAGGGAGTCTGCTTTCCCATTCTGACTTCTAGGAAGGCCAACAAAACCTCAAACAGTGCAGAGAGAGCTGCAAAAAGGAAATGGTGCTGAAATAGGAAAAAGGCACAAGAGTGTGCAGCCTTAGCTGATTTATGCCAACCAGTCAAGTGCTAGGAAAACAAATAAAACTGGAAGGAAAATATTTTAATTAAATAGATTAATTTACCTATTAAAAGATAAAACATTGACAGTGTTTCATCTGAATGATGCATTTTTCTCCCCAGACATCTCTATTTGTGGCTTCCAAGTGAAACTTTCACCTTCCTCTATTAAACTGACAAGACATCAGGCAGAGAGCAGTGTCCTGGTGAGGTATAGCAGATATCCTGAGATAGATCTGAAAAATACATTTGGGATAGAAACAGAACAATGCAACAAGATCCAGATCCCATCACCAATTTCCTTTTACTTCAGGAAACACGGGTTTATAAAATAGAAGTATGGCTTTGATAGAAGCGCTCTGGCTGATTTGTCTGTACTTCTTTGTGCTGTTTTGGCCCCAGACTCTCACCTCCAGCCTTTCCACAGAGATTTGCAGGGGGGAGAAGGGAGGGGGGAGCCACAGAGGACAGCTCTTTTCAGCAGCAAAAGGCCCATTAAATCAGTTTAGCTGTGCACCTCAGCTGCTGCAGCTCACGCTCTGGCACCTCAACACAGCCCTGTTTCATTGGGGATCTGAGGCAATCTCCCAGGCTCTGAATGGGAGCCACTGACAGCATCATTCCAGCACTCCCAGCCAGGAACAGCCCTGTGGACAGCTGAAACTCACACTTACTGCCACAGCTAGGCCTGCTGGAGCCCCAGATGGATATTGCAGAGCAAAGACTGGGGCTGGTACTCAGTGGCTCCGCAGTTTTATTAGATTTGTATTTGTTCTGATGAAATGTCATCTGTGTTCATACTGCAAAAGAGGTCATATACTGTATGTTGTGTCGTTCTTTTTATAGTTTCTTACTCTTTGGATTAAAAAATTTACAATCCTCTGGGATGAGAAGCAGAAGTAATACCTCACCATTTAGGGAATCATTCATACTTCAAAAGTAAAAAGAGTAAACAGCTAAAATAATCGTTCTGGAAAACGCTGAAATTTTTGGCAGGAGTTGCTTCATGAATACCTTGAATGGAAAATACATCTGTGGAAATAAAGACAGGTTTATAAGTAACTTGCAAGGAAAAAAAGATTTCAAGTAATTGCATAGTTTACTTCCAGTGCTTGGTTTTTTGACCAGATCTACAGCAGGCAGACTTTAGAAGGGCAGATAAGCAGAGTTAGCTGCAGGTCTAACAGTGTGGACTTTTCCAAAATGCCCACAAACAAACAATTGGAAAGTCCCCCTTACCACAGTAAATCCCATCTCCCACATCCCACTTTCAGTCTAAATCTGATAAGGGCATGCAGAGAGTGTGTTCACAGCTGGGGCAGACTTTCAGTTTTTTGGTATTTTGTGGCTTTACCTTGTGCCTCAAGGCTGTGATGTGCTTACAAGTTCCTGGTTTGGGCATGTATTCACCTGCTTCTTCAAGAGTAGCCAGCCTCTCCTCTCCTC